GCGGGCGCCCTCCGCAGCGGCGCCGGCTCCGGGGCGGATGCCCGGCGCCCGGGGCCCGGCTATTTATAGCGCCCAGCATCACGTGGGGGGCGGTGACCGCCGGGCGACCCAGCTCACAGCGGCTCCCGCACCTGCCACCTAAAGATAGCGCCCGGGCCGGCAAACAAAGGGCTGGCCAGCCGAGGAAGAGGAAGCAGGAAGAGGGAGGACCGCCTGCCACCCCCTCCCTGCACCCGCAGGGTGGAAGCAGCCCGGGAGGCGCCCCTCTGCGTGCCTGGGGACCCCTCCCAGCTCTCCAGCCTGCAGCCTGGACTGAGTTTACTGAGCAATTACTGTGTGCCCCGCGCCTCCAGCCCTGACTTCACCGCTCACAGCCATCCGACAGCTGAGGAAACTGAGGCACGGAGCCCAGGCACACTCCAAGGGTCACACAGGCAGACAGGAGGCATGAAGGAGCTGTCTCCAAGGCTCCCCAGCAGCCTTCCGGAGCACTCCACAGCAGACCTCCTCCTGGACCCCACAGCCATCAACAGGACAGGGTCCTCCAGGGAAAACCCTGCAGGATGTCAGTCCACAGACCAAAAATGGAGCCAGGTGTCAATCACTCCACACCTGCCCAGCTGGCTGCTTGACACCCTGGGAGCTTGTTGGAGCAGGGCCCATGGGGTCCCAGCACACAGGGTCCCCAGAGGCCTCGCCTTGCTGGGAACCCAGCTCCCAGCCTGGCTCCCAGACAGAGGCCTGGCCCTGCAGTCAGTCAGGGCTGGGGAGAGGAATGGGTCCCGGGAGGCTGGCTGCAGGCCGGCCAGGAAAGGACACCCCCCCCCCAAACTCCCAGAGAGCAGCTCATTAGCCTGCCTGGCACAGCCAAGCCTGCCATCCACCCCCACTCTTCCTTCTCCCAGGTAAGGACAGCTGACAGTATGGGGAGGGGGCAAGGAGTCATCCACAGGCCAACCCCAGCAAACCAGGCAACCCACTAAGCAGCCCCCAGAGCCCCAGCAGCCACTTGAGATGCCCACTGAATGCCACCCTAGTGGGCCCAGCACAGAAACCACCTTGGTTCAGATTCCTGGTTCCATGCTCTGGGCTGTCTGTACCACCTGCATACCCCCCAGAAGCCTCAGACAAAATGGGTCAGTTCTGTCATTCAACTGTCCCACCAGCTCCCACCCTGACCACAGACCCTGCACCCACCAGCGAGGCATCAGCATCAGCAGCTCAGAGAAGTTAAATAACTTGGCCAAGTTGCCCAGCCAGCTGAACACGCCTGGGGGTTTGCCCACCCCTAGGGACCTTGCTGGTCCCAATGCCAGGCCTTGGGAGAGGGCATGAGACAGACCGCCTCTTTTGGCCCACAGCAGTTTCCTTGTCTGGAAATGGGGGTCTTTTCGTGACAAACCCAGAAGCCCCCCGAGTGCCTACACAACTCCCCTTACTGGGGCCTCTGGCCAGGCCTGGGGGGGCACATGCTGCAGCTGGCAGGGCCCCAAGCCTTTCGGAGAAGTCTATTTATACCACAGCTAGAGCCATTCCTGGAACCCTCCCAGAGCACCCATCTCTGGGGCCCAGGAGGGGAGACCCCCGTCGGACCTACCCACACCAGTCCCCAGGAAACCATCCTCAGCCCTTGCACCCCTGAACCCCTCAGATTCAGTGGTGCAGTTTCTCATCAAACAGGTGCCAGTGCCACCACCCCTAACCCTATGCCACCCCCACCCCTCTTGGCCATGTGCCCCGCCCTAGGGAAGGCAGCCATAACAGGAGAGACCTACCACTCAGTCCCACCCCTCTTGCCTTCCACTCAGGCCTGGCACCAAGGAGCTCCCACTTGTTTATGGAAGGGAAAATGACCCAGTGTCCAGTGTTCTAGGCAGAGGTCCAGATTGAGGAACCATCCAGAACCCATCATGAGACCTCAGCCCTCGAGGTCCAGGGGAACCTCGGAGAGCACCCATGCCACCCAGTGGCACATGCATGCCTTCCCAGAGGAAGCCACTGTGTCAGTTGCCCTTGCCTCCTGCCTTGGTGCAGCTCCCCAACTTATCTGTCCCTCGAGGGCTGGCTGAAAGCCATCGCCAGGATGGGGACCACAGGAGAGCCTCAGGTGGCAGGTGCTCCAGAGGGCAGGGTAAGCAAAGAAGGTTTCCAGAGGAGGTGACCCAAGAGGGACGTGGATACACTCCTGGTGCCTGGCTTGACCATCTGCTCTGATGTCCTGTGCCTCCTGGGGTGAGTGCTGGCTCCTACTGGGCCTGGGGACACCTCTATAAATAGACACACTGCCAGGGAGGGAAGCCGCCTTCCAAGGTGTCATCATGGGCACTTGGGCTGTGACCTGGAGCAGGCCTGGGGTTCCACCAGGACTCTGAGGTCAGCAGCTACAAGGACGCTTCCCAGAGCTTGGCCTGAATGGTGCCTTGTTGGGCATGGGACTGACCTGCTGACCCAGGCACCTGCTTTCCAAGGCTATCCTCATGTGGTCAGCCACCAGCTCCGTCAGGGCAGATCAGAGCACCACTGCAGGCCAGGGGCTATAACTGTCATTTCTGTGACCTGGCAGCAGGTAGGCAGAGGCATAACTGTGGATGAGGCCCACTAGGCAGCACAGATCTTGAAACCTGGGGCCTCTCCCAAGGTCTGAAGGTCCACTCTGAGCTCTACATCATCTGAGGGCACCAGCTGGATCTGCCCATAAGGAGATGCCTCAGAACACCTGGCTGACAGGGTGCCCGCCCCCCTCCAGTCACACTGCTCTTCATCTCCCCAGAGCTCAGCCCTGGCTCAGCTGTCTTCAGCCTTCAGCAGCCCCGATGGGAGGCCATTGGGCCTCCCCCCACCCACTCAGATCTTGGGACTCCTACCAGAGAGTGAAGGGGAGCTTGGCATTCATTCGTTCATTCAGTCATTCAGTCAATGTGGCCAGCATGCTGAGCACCGACCGGTGCCAGTCACAAGGCCAAGTAGGGCAGAGACGCAAGACAGGGAGAGGGCAAGAGAAAGCTGCCTCCCAGACTCTGCAGGTTGGTATGAGCTATGCTACTGAGGGTGACAAGGGCAGTATGGCTACTGACTCTGGGTCCCTCAAAGAGACCTGGCTCCAACCTGTCCCTGTTTCCCAGGCTTCCAAATATAGCAATGGGTGGTACTTTCCCAACAATGTCCCTCACAGGCCTGTCTGCTCACAACTGGGGTGACCCTGGGATCCCCTCACCCTACCTTCACCCCACAGCAGGGCCAGTTGCCTCTCAACGGCTCCTCCTGCCAAGCCCTGGTTTCTAGCCTTTGCACTTTAGTTCCCCTCCACCTCCACCCTAATGTACTGGGTCCTCAGGGAGAACTCTCCTACAGGGTAACCCCCAGCGAGCTCTCCTACAGGGTAATCCCCAGCAGGAACTCTGTGCCTCAGTTCCCTCACCTATAAAAGCAGGATGAAGGAGTAACTCACCTTCCTTAAGAGTTGCCAGAAACAAGCCTGTTACCACAGCCTCCAAGCAGAGCCCAGTCCCACATTCTGGTGTTACCTAAGCACCCGTGTCCAGAGCACGGCACTGCCTCCTCCCCGACTGCTGCCTGTGTCCAGAGGGTAGCGGGCCACTGGGGCCTGGACATCTCCCTTTCTTCAGGTCCAGGTCTGATTTCCAGTCATCTGGCCCCTCCTTCCCACCATCAAACAGGCCTGGGAGCCTCAAAGGAGTGCCACGAAGGACACCAGCCACCGAGTCTACGCCTGCCATCAGAGAGCCTGAGGGGTCCCCTGGCATCAATAGGCCTCCCCACTCCATCAGGGACTCCAGTCCCTTACCCCTCCCCAGCCCACCCTCCCCCACCTAGGCAGGTGTCAAGGGAGGGACAGACATATGACTCTGTCTTAAAAGGCAGCTCAGTGTGTCCCACCTCCAGCACATACTAGCTGCCCCAGAATCTAGAGCCTGAGAGCCCATGTCATCTGCCGAGTTGCTCAATAAGTCACTCTGACACTCAGTGAAGCCTGGCTCAGGATGCAGATGGACCGGCCTCCACCTACCACAGCTCACACAGCTTCCATGGCCCCCTGTGGCCTACAAAACCCACGGCCCTTCGGTGGAAGGACAAGGGGGTGTGGGATTCACACCTCTAGGTACTCTGTTTCTCTTGCCTGAAAGCCTCAGACACCACCCCCCTCCCCAGTCCTTAAAACATACTTCAGATGAGGCCAAGGTTTCTGTGTCTAGGAAGCCCCCAGTGGCTCTCTGTGCCCCCATGCCCCCATACTCCCAGTCATATATTTATCTACCAAGTGGCTGTCGGCTCCAGGTCCCCTGGTGGATACTGGGGGACAAGGCGGGGGGGCACTCCTTTAAGGCTTCTGGGCCTGTTTGATGGAGGGAAGGAGGGGCCAGATGACTGGAAATCAGACCTGGACCTGAAAGACAAGGGAATGCCACAACCAACTCCCAGAGCTCAGGTGCTGCAGAGCGCATGAGCTGCCAAGCGGGGGTTACAGCACAGGAAAATGGGGTCTGGACAGCATCGCTACGGAAGGAAGAATCACCCAGGCCTCCCTGAGGAGGTGGCCTCCAGGCAGACTCTGTCCCCAGGGTGGGAAATCTACCAGACCCTCCAGCAGCAGCAGACACCAGCCTCCACCTGGCTGGCGGCTCACAATCTGCCCAGTATCTCCCCACAACACACGCACACACATCCTACATGTGTATGTCTGAGACCCAAGACCGAGAAGCCCCATTTTACATGTGGCCAGATAGATAGGTGAGGTGGGGCAGAGCTGCCTGCATCCTGCTTGTCTGGTTCAAGCCCAGGCCTTCCTATCTGTCATCATGTGAACTGCACAGACCCAGGGAAGCTTCACACCCACAAGGCCTGTGGGGCATCCAGAA